TAATGAAAACTTTATCACAACCGTGCTGAGCTGTTCAACAAGAATTCTGAATCCTTTTTCAAACTCACTACTTTCCTAGGTATAGTCTCCAACTCTGTAGGTGTGGCCCACAATTCCCATTCATATATCCGTAACTATTCTTGCCCTCATCAGTATTTATGCCTCTGCCAATTTTTGGGGATTCTTAAGTTTGAACCACCAATTATTTTATATTTTATTTCTAGATCACAGATGACAGTGCTGAACATCACCTTTACTACAACTCCCTACAATAGTTTTTTGGCTAGAGTTTAGAATGTAGGTATAATCTAAGAAGTCTGTGTCTTGGCTATGTGAGGTGTTTTCTTAATTTCTAAGACATTCCACTGTAAAAGTTCTCAGCTGGAGCTAACAGTTCCCGGCTCAAATATGATTTTAGGTCGGCCATGTACTATTACAGACCTGTGACTTCAGGATATGTTCTTATTTCTGTTCGTTTAGTTCCAGCTTGACAACCTTCAGGGCATGACACAAAGCTCATCTCTCTTCAGGTTTTAGCTTAGCAGTGATTTAACAGACAGAATAGTCTAAGGACAAGAGCAATTATAGTCCTGGTGATTCTAATGTTCTGTTTATGCCTATTTTTATATGACAGACTACTTAGAACAAAAATTTTCACCCTAGCTTTTGATGGTCTAAATAGAGCTGCTCATAAACCTTTTTTGAATACATTGTTTGACAAAGTTTTCCATTTTTTGTTAATTTTAATTCATGACTTTAATTAACAAATTTCTTTTGGATTGTTTAACCAGGTTTAATTTAATCAGGTTTAAAATGTTTGAGAAAAAGTAATAAAGTACTGATTTGAGTCTGAAATTTGAAAATGGTTTAAATCTTTTTAACTGATAGTAATATTTACCAATAACTCAGAGGATAGTCACAATACAAAAGCACTATGACAGCTAGCATCCTTGCTGATAGTTTTTCCTGGTGAAATATGAATAGACCATAAGGCTGAGAAGTTACAGTTTTTCTCCAATAAAAGACTTAGACAATGGGAAGTCTTCACTGTCTCTGCTTATAAACAACAGGATACAGTTTTCCTTCTTGGTAATTTAAAGCTGCATAATTAATTTATGCTCACCATAAGTTTGTTGTAGTTTACTTTTGAATACACCACAGGATATAAGTTTTGATGACACTAAAGCCTTGGAAAATACATACACAAAATTCTTTAAAAAATGAAACAAGTCAGAGTAAATTCCCTCCAGACGTGCAGAAAGCCATTCTTGGAATTACACAATAGTTGTGTGTGAAGAGAAAGGTTATTTACAGAACTCCTATTAACACTAAAAGAAGCTAACTTCATACTCCATGAAAGCAGTGCAACCTGGTGTACTCAGCCCAGGCTTATTTTTCAGAGGTAATGTACAATAAAACTGAAAAATCTTGACCATGTAGAATCAATTTTGGTGATAATTTGTATACAGAAGACCAGAACTTTGCCAGGCAGGCCTCCCTAAAATCCACTGCTGTGCTGAAGCTTGACTATACTACCAAGTCTTGCTCCTTTTTAATTAGAAGAGTATTCCACAAGTCAGCTCAGAAAGACTGAAAAAAATATTTGCCCTACAGTTTCTTGAGATAGATGGTTTCCGCTAAAGGGAATCTGAAAGGGCAGAAATCTGCAACGCACAATCAGCTTTTACTCAGGAACACCTCAAGCTGAGAACAAAGGAAAATTTTCTATGAATAAAGTTTTAATTACAAATTATAGCTGAGATCCAGAAAAAAAATTGGCTTATATAAAAATTATTTATTGCCCTGGATATATTGTTTTCAGAAGCAAGCAATAAAATTATTCAAGATATTCTTAAGCTTTAACTAATTATATTAAACATTAATTGATAATGCCATGATGTCACAAAAAGGCAAAAGCTACATTGGGAAAATCAGTAGTCCCAACAATGACTAATTTTTCTTACTCAGCATTAATTACCTTAATTTCGAAGTACTCTATTCCATGGCAGCCTTTAAAAACAACAATAACTTCAATAACAGAAAGATTCTAGAAGTTCAGAGAAGTGAAAAACAAGTAAACAAATTTGCCATTCAGAGAACGTGATCCTCGTTGAAGCTAACAACAGGCCTAACAGTACAAGAGAAATATCTAAACATATGTCTATGCATGTGTCTATACATGTATATCTATCCATATATATGCCAGTATATGTACAGGAACTTGATTCCCCGCAGCCTTGCAAATAGATACAGTGCAGCAAAGTAGGTGTAATTGGGTTTTCACATTTTTGTTTGCTTTGTAATCATGTATAACCTTTTACAGAAATATAAATGACTGAGTCGCAAGACTGCGATGAACCAAACCCAATCAGAATGTTTGACAATAAAATTGATGTCAGAGGCCAACAGGAACAAAATGCATTGCAATAACTTTAAATCTCAGTAGGAAAGAAATATGTTGAGTGTTTACTCTATCAGAGACAAATACCTTATTCAGCCACAGAAAGAAATAAAGAACTAGGTTAGCTAATAAAGGACACTAAAGAAGCGTCTTTACTGAAACCAGATATCAAAGTATTCTGAACAATTCAGAAATATGTAATCAACTTACCAAAATACAGAATAAACACTAGTTAAGCAACCAGAGGGATATATGTATTTTTTTAACTTTCTGATTTTAGTTAAGATTACAATTAAAGGACTTAATTGCTGTTTTCTAATTAAAAATATAAGTAATACGAAAACAGTCTAGAGGTTTCTATGTCAGTATGTGCAGGTCTCCCAAACTTGTTACAAGCAACACTTAGTACGAAAGCCCCCAAAAAAGAATTCTATAGTTCAAGATATTAAATCCAAATTCCAATTTGAAGAGATTCTTTGGTGTACCTTCTAAATAAAAATTGCCATAAAACAGTAACTTTCATGTCCTGAGTAACTCATGTAAGTAAAAATTAACTTTAATGACTGAAAATGTTTGGATGACTGAAAATATGTAGCTATATAGCCACATAACCATCCAATGCACATATAGATCAACAGAAATTTAAAATGAAAACATCCCTCACATCTTGTTGGAGAACAAGATAGCATTCTCAGTCCGCACTTAACATGGTCTGCGCATACAAACAAAAAGTTTTGCATTCTTTCCTGTACGTAACTCTAAGCAAAGGTATATTTAAACACTTCTAAAAGAATTAATTGGCATTAGTAGGAAACAATTGTCTTAAAATCAGGCAAATAAAAGTGATTTGCATCTTTCTGCAATAGATTTTGACTAGATGTCAGCAAAAAGAGAAGCTCTGTCTCTTTTCTCAGACTCTTAAAACCATTAACGGTTTTAGTTGCACAGTGTAACGTTACCTACGTTTTTATATATATGCATTATATATACATACACATACACAGAGACACATATATATAGTTATTAACGGTGTTCATTTCTCAATGTACTGGCCAGCACCCAAGCAAGACTTCTATAGCAAGAGACTTTTTCTACAACAAAAGACCTTTTTTGGGGGAGCCACGCGGTTGATCTCAGTGCTGATATTGTTTTCGCTTGACATGTGCAGAACACACTTTAGAATGTCAGTGGGAGTTCTGCATATGTATGGCGAAGAGGCTATATGAGATGACATTTGCCATGTGGCCCTGAGATGAAAATTTTGCCCTAAGATAGTTCCTCCAGTAAGTTTTTTTTTTCCACCGCAGCAGTCATTTTTGTTTTAGTGGGAAATGAACCTCAAAGACAACGTTCAAGAATACTATTTGCCAAGAGCCTGTTTAGCATCATATGTATAAATATCACCATATAACTTCTACTGGATAAAACATGGGGGTGGTAGTACTATTCTATAAAAGATCTTACTAATTTTTTCTGACATACGCTGCTAGTACACCACACCCAGTTAAACAGACCAGTCTTAGAATTGACTCCAAATTGTGATGTTCCACATGCCCAGCTGTTTGTGTAGATGACGTAATTTTTTACTTCTGCAGTTCTGTATAAAGTATCAATTACTGATGACTGAAAGTGTATTAACCTCCAGAAGTCCTGAAGAAGTAACACTATCCTATCAGTATGCAGCTTAGCAAAATAAAATTCACATGTTAAAAAATAGATATAAGAAGAATTCACTATTTCCATATGAACAAATTAAACGAATTATTTGCTATTACTATTTTTAAAGCATAAGCTTGTTTAAAAGACAATTTTAGCTTTGCTGTTTTCTTGTTCACATGCTATTAAGTGATTTAATGTGAAAAATTAAAGTTTTCTTTAAAAAATCTCTAATGAAATTTTTTGGTTTTTTGTTTTTGTTTTTTTCTTTTTTCCTTATTGTTAGTTTGGTAGCCACAAAGGAAACAGACAGTGCAAGATCTCGTAGCATGCCAATGTCACCATCTGATTTCCTGGATAAACTAATGGGTAGGATGTCGGGCTACGATGCAAGGATCAGACCAAATTTCAAAGGTAACTTCAATCCTAACATGTCATGCAATTCAGTATTCCTGTCATACAAACGCAATTTCTGGAACAACTGCAAACACAAAACAAATAGTCTCATTGAAAAAATTGTACCTTCCTTGCCCTTTCTTTGCTATGGACATGAATTTCAGTAGTAACATGCTCTATTCCTGTCACTTTCACAGTTAGTCAAACGTAGTCCTTCGACAATTTAGCTTATCAATAGAATTGGTTTGTTTATTTTTTTTTCCGAAATGCTTCCCGATAGATTTGAATTCCTGCCTTTGATAACCACAGTCTGAGGCGTTTCAGAAAGCAGGCTCTGTGAAATAGTACCTAATCCCCAAAGCTGATTCTAACCAAAAGGAAGAGTGTACTAATCACACGACCATCAGATCCAAATTTAAAATTTCTGAATTTTTAAATAATGCTATCAGTTTGAATAGAAATATTATTTGAAAATATAAATCAATTGTGATTAAAAATGCCTTAGATACCTCCTACTATGTCTACTTTCCTGATTCCAGGACGTTTTCTTATCTCTGATATTTTACTATATTGCAGGTTTTATTCCATACGTGCTATGAAGCTTTTCCTTTGAGCAGCCAGGCATTCCTCCTCTAAGACATTTATCACTGTGTTTCCATCTTGATTCTTGTTCAGCGCTGAATTTTTTAATTGTTTTATGTCACCAGGTCTCAGAAACTTCAGTAGTTATGCCTCTAAAACCATTGTTATTTGTTCCTCTTGATAGTCTTTTTTTTTTTGCCTCAATCTATCTGATTCATAAGGACAAAACAAGTAGCTGGTAAAATTACTTCCTCATTAGTAAACTTTTAAAAGTCAGTGCTGTATATATAAACTTATTATCCAAGATTTTCTGTAGCTGGAAATACATAGCTTTCAATAAGTTAGCAGTGCTGATATTTCTCAAAAAAAAATGCACTGGAAGTTTAAACATATCACTAAAAAGATTTATATTGCTGATTAATACCCACCATTACTATACAGAGTAAGTCCCTTGGACAGTGCATCCCAGAAGCATTCTGAAGAAAATTCCTGTGGTGGGCTTCTTGAAGGGTAGAGAAATTTGGTGTATTAAGCAATGTTTGCACAGTAATGTAACACACTACTTCCAAAATGATTTTTTTTGTGTGTGTGTGGCATCTCAGAAATAATTTTTGCTCCTTGTTAAAGTTATCCTGACTTGTTCCCACACTATACTCCTTAAAATGTAAACTGCAAGTTCAACCTAAGGTAAAACTGAGCTGGGCAAAAGATGACCTCAGGCAAAGTCTAAGCACTGCAGTTTTTATTCTTTCTTCTTGGAGTCTCTTGAAGTCCTATGAACAAGTGTTTAAAAACAAGGAGCTTACAGCTTAGCAGTTCATTTGGGAATTGGATTTTGGAGCTTGTCATGGACACCATGCAATCACAATCTTCTGATGGGGTTACAGTGAAGAACAGGCAGATGGTTTAGAGATTAGTGGATTCAATATAGAGCTTCTTGAATGTATAATTCAAAAGACTTGCCTCAATTCAAGGGCCTTGTTTCATAACCATTGAAATTTAAAGAGACAAAAACCTAATTTGACATTGTTCTTTCTCAAAAAGTGCACATTCTAAATCTTCTAGACAGCTATGCAGTTTGAGCAAATCTGCCTAAAATGATTCAAATCTATCACAAAGAATAAGTATCTCCTTAAGTGACTTTGCCACTTTCTGGCTAGTTTTATTAGTCCTAGAACAAGTAAATGGAACTTTATGATTTTTTGAGTTTTTAATTTATCAACAGTTTTAAAGAAATAGAACAAGTACTAATAAGAGATCTCAGCTCATCAGCACCTCTAAACCATTTTATTTGTTATTCTATTAAACTTAATATGTAGCCAAAATCGTTAACTACCATCCTTCTTTCATAATTAATCTTACTTAGTACACAAAGTGCACAATTATGTACTTTGCCCGAGTGCTCTGTTTTTGGATAGGAAATAGTGCCCATCTATAAGTGCTCGATAGAAAGAATAGAATAAAGAGAAGAGTAGTGGTATTAGCTATGGAGCAAAGCACAGATTAACAATTCTTGTAAAATCTTTGCTCCCATTGCAAAGTATTTTTATCTCCGGGAGGTCAAAACTATATCTGCTACTTAGTCCACATCCTAGACTACTTTTCTCCCTAAAATATGGGGAATACTACATTGTCTTTCAAATTTGGACCCAACTATGAAAAAATTGTCACTGACTCAAACAAGATGTTCAGGATTACGACTCGAAAGAATAGTTTTGTGCAAACAAAAACGTGAAGGTTGTGTTACAGCTCTTTCAGGAACATGGGAATAACCCAATTTTACTGCTGATACCTGGGGAAATTTTCTAGCAGTACAATCCAGTCAATATGGTGCCATATTTCAAATAAAATTAAATACTGAATTCCTTCATATGTTTCAAAGAGAAAATGTCAGCCTTACATATCAATAAACACTTCCGTGTCATGCTTAGAAAACACTGTCACTTGCCCCTTGACATTCAGTAGAGGGCACTTTGAAAACATGATACACTGTCAGCTATTAATTTTGACCCATATAATTACATTTACTCTGATCTCAATACGGATAATCATGCTTTACTACTTTTCAAATCTGTTAAATCCATTAGTTGAACATGCTCTCTGAAGTGAAGCCACTGGTACTAATGCCCTCGAGATATTTAGGTTTAGGGGACTCTGCTCTAGTTTGTCATTAATGAATTCTTCGTTTCTCACTGTGGCTCTGTTAATCATACTGCCACACAAAAGGTAATCCCTCATAATTCCCTCTTACTGTTACAGCAAAAACAAAGACAAATGTATCTAGCAAGTGTTGAAATGTATAGAAAAGGTAAGAAAGCCAGGACTGAACAATTGGCCACTTCTCCAGCAACATTAACTGTCTTCTACAGAGTGCTCACATAAGAGTAAGCACACAGATTGTCCTCCCAGTTCTGCTACCCGTCAGAGCATAAAAGTCACTTAAGCATGTCACTGACTCTCAGAAGCCACCCTGGAGCTTCCTCTCACCTTTGGAAGCTCTAATAACAATAAGCTCTTTGGAAAGACGATGTATATGCACAAACAGCTTCTATGTTTGTGCATGGAAGACTATGCACAAACAGCTTCTACCAATCATAGATGAAATGAGGGGAGACGCCTACCTCAGCTTGCATACTCTCTATCAGTAAATAATGAAGTAACATGAAGGTGTGGCTGCAACAAACTTAAGTGTATTTATAATAGCTTCAATCTACTGACTGCACTTGCAGTCACAAAGATGCAGCAGAGCTGGCTGCATGTTGTGCAAGCACCTAGAGCACATACGTAGGGGTCCCCAAGGAACTTTTAAGCTAAAGCATGGCTTTTCTTGCTGTCTAACCACTCCTTTCAGAGTGACGGCGGATAGTGGCCCTCTCCAACCCAGGCAGCTACAATAGGTCTACCGATCTGTGACTACAGTAGAGACAGATCCTTTTCTTTTCCATATTTTCTGTTCAAGCACTTGACTCGTGCTATTTAGATAGGATTAAACCTGACAATATGGCAGTTTCCTCAGCGGAGCTCCTTGTTTTCGTATTTTTTCAAAAGTGAATTTAATAAAAAATTGTCTCACTTTTAGTCTTCCCAAATGTAGATCATATTTATACATACAATTTCATATGCACCTAGCATAATCTAGCAGAGTACAATGTTGTGTCTACTTGGCCAAAAAAAAATTCCTTATGAAGCTATGAAGAAATATTTTGAACTTCTTTCATTTTCTTTGAAATTTTAAACACTATTTATTTTTTTCTTACAATGTTGCTGAGGCAGCTTTTTTGCAGAAGCCTGTTTTCCCAGTGCTTAAATAAAATATAGAAACATCAGTCCATTAATCGGTTGGACATCTTTCTTTTTTCTCACGTTTAACAGAAATGCCACTTTCTACTTAGGTTACAACTATTAGCAAATCCTATCATATTTGTTCTTGTTTTTTTCTACCAGTCTATTGATATTTCAGTTAATATTTGCTATTGATATTTCTGTTGGTCTGATATAACATAATGGTTAAGGAATTGACTCATTTTATTATTAAACTCAGTATGTGACACAGAGGAGGTGTAATATATATTTATATTTTTGGACTTTACAGTATTTTATGGCAACAAATTCTTCATATTTTGGAACTGTGCAAAGTATCCTTTTTCATTTGTTTCAAATCTGGTGACTGACTATTTTACTGATTTTATTGCCATGTAACATTTTTGAGAAACAGAGAAAAAGTGCATCTTACACATTTTTACAGTTTTATAAATACTTATATCTGCCCCCTTCCCATCACTTTTCTTTCCTAACTTGAAGAGTCCTTTTCCATCTATGCTTTTTCGTATGGCAGCATTTCATAGAGCTTGTCATCCTTGACTGCGTGCTTGACATCTCTTTTTTCCTCTAATGTATCCTTCTGAGGTGGACTGAGAAGAACTTTTGAAGTATTCAAGTTCATGATCTACTTGTGTGGTACTTCAGTTTTTTATCTATTTATTTGCATTCACCTTTCTTTTTTGATTGTTACTGAGTATTTGTTGCTGTTTTCAGAGAACCATCTTTAATAAAACTAGACTCTCCTTCCTGCAGGAAAATCATTAATTTGGAGCCCATCAGTATGAATGCATAGTAAGGATAATTTTGTATTTGATTGACACAGAACGTCATCAAATATTTTATTGCTCAACAATTCAGTGTTTTGTGATTTTTCTGCAACTCCTTGCAGTCAGCTTTATATAAAACTATCTTAAATAATCCTATACCAGAAGTAAAATTATATTGCTATATCTTTCTTTTCTAATTGGTAATTATCATTTAACTGCAAAGACTTAGCACAGATCCCCGGGGGAACTCACTACCAATCACCTTGCACTGTGAAAACTGTCTATTTATTCCTAGAATTAAAATAACTTTAAAACAAAATGTCCATAAGAGGACCATCTGTCACCTCATGAAGACTAATATCCTTAAAAGCCTTTGAAAAAGACCTTCATAAATTTTTGAAAATACAAATGAACTATTTAACTAGATTACTGTGGTCATGCTCATCAACTCTTTCAGAGAGCTTCAATAGATTTGAGAGACAGTACTTTACACAAATAACATATTCATCCATATTTCCTAATTGTATTATTTTTCATCATTTTTACCAGTTTGGCTGGTATGAAGGTTAGGCTTACAACAATACAGCTCCCAACATTGTCCATAGAGTCTTTTTTCTTAATTCATTTTATAGTTGCTGGACACAGTATACATTCCCATTGATACCAAAACTGGCACAGGTGACAGCTGACTCACAGTGATCAGTATTTTCACAATTTCAAAAAGATTTTTAGAATTTCTGGCTTGATATCACCTCATGTCAGTTTGTTTGTGTTCACTTGGTCTGAAATACCTTCTGCAGTCTTCATACAAATCTTCCATCAGAATGGCCCTAGTATTTGACATTTGCGAGCCACCAGACACAAACACTGATACAAAGAATTCAGCTAGGTTTTCTGCTCTGACCTTTCTTACCTTCACGGACACTTTTATGTCTTAATTCTCTTCTCCTGACTTCACCTCCCAACCCTTGGCAGGATTCCTGCTTTTAATGCCTTGTAGATAGTTATGATTGCTCCCTCTTCTGTGTTTAGTGAGTTTCAGCTCTGTTGTTTGGTTTTTTTTTTTGGCCTAGCTTATTATAAATTTACATTTACTTGCCTGATTTCATGTTTTTGAACGTGACTTCCAGTTTTAACAGTCTCATTTTTGCTTCTACTTGAGCATGGTTTTGGGGAGCTCATTTTTACTTTGAGCCCAGTCTCTTTAAGCAGTCTCTCAGCTGTTTGCAAGCTGCTTATACCTTCCTTTTAACTAGCTATTAACTATCTCTCTGTAATGCTGATTTTGAAATCAAGCACCAGAGTTGCGGATATTTAGGGCTTTTTTTAAAAAAAGCAACTATTTTTACTGATATAGCATTACATTTAATTTAAAACAAAGCACTGTTTTAAACACGACAATACCACACTGAATTTGAAATGATGACAAGTACTATAGCATAAAGGTCTCAGAAAGGAAAGCTGGCCCGCAAATAGATCACCTAACATAGTCAGCGAGAACAAATTTCTCTCTGCTAGGTTTATACTGACCTCTGCCTTTATCTCCCCTGCTTTTTTTCTTTTTCCCTTGATCCCTTTCAGCAATTTTTTCCCGATGTTGTCAGTGTCAAGCTTTTACTCAACTCTAAGAAATATTGGATTTGATCAGCAGCTCTAAATAATTAACCAAGTATTATCGTAGTGTCAAAGTGAGCCCAAAGTGGTACATTCTTACCTGATAAGTCTGCTTCATGCGTATAGTCTTGTGTATTAAAAATGATAAAAATACATGTAGCAATCTTTTGTTGAAATAGCCATACTGTACTTCAAAAACAATTATCACCCTGAGGAAAAGAAGCTGGACATTCCAGGTTGTGTCCTGCTAGCAGAACTCTTAATGAACATCCTGATTCTTCAAATATTCAGTATCAAGTTACTAGTCACATTACACTCTGCTAGTTACAAAGCATCAGCAGCGACTGAGTGGCTTATTACTATAACTATAAAATAAATATTACATAAATGTTCGCAAGACCAGTCCTCAAACTCCAGATACAGAATCTTCATTACTAGTGACTGCTTACAACTGGAGAATGAAACTAGCCTCTCCAGTGTTGAACTGCATTAATGATACAAGAATATGAAGGTGCAGGAGGGTGACAGAAAAACTTGTGACAGAAAAACCTTGTTTCTACTGTACATAGACTGGATTCGATAAGAAGTAATGCAGAAATTAGTATGCAACACCACAATGCCAGTTTTACAGAGGCTTTCAGATAAAAATAATTTAAAATCTCTTCCACGAAGACATGATTCATTGTTCAGATGTCATAAGGACTACTCTGCCATTCCTGATGCTTCCCAAATGCAGGATAAGACAGAACAGCAGTTCGCTGAAGACTCATGGTAGCAGAAAACTCAGCTTGAATGCATTCTTAACCACTTTGAGGATATAAAATAAATGATAATAGAATTCTAAGTCATTCTTTCTTATCCACATTTGTTCCTGTCAGCACAGTAGAGATAAGGGCAGCAATAACGTATTTCTGCTACCACTGATGACAGATAACACTAAAAATATCAGCTGTCTTGAGCGAAAAAGGTCACTTTTTCCCCTATTTGTTGTGAGAAGTGACATAGAGCGTTCACTAAAACTCCTATAACAATACTTTTGGCTATATGTTTCAAAAAATATAACCTTTTTTGCATAGTATCCTCTTGTGCAATTTATAATGAACTTTCAGTTTTAGTACGCAGTATACCTTTGAGAAAAATCAAGATGAAAAATCTATTAATTATTAGAAAACATTCCGTTTCATTTCCCATTAAACGAGTCTTGAATGCAGCATTCTTTCCTCCTAAGTCAATGAACCTTTGTTTCATAAGAGCTTACTCGGTTAATATATTTTTACAGTTACTCAATAAGCAATGATTCTGGAACAGGGACTGGTGTTTTTTTTCTTTTGCAGGCCCTCCAGTTAATGTCACATGCAACATATTTATAAACAGCTTTGGATCCATTGCAGAGACAACCATGGTAAGATATTTTACCTCAAACAACATTTAAAGTTCAAGTTAAAGAAATTCAATAAGCTCAAAAGTAAGTTAGGGCTTCTCTTCACTTGGAACAAAAGAGAGAAGGAAATCCTTTCCTAACAGAGAATGAGAATATTTAAAGGAGAATATTTAATTTGGCAATTTATTTTTCTAATAGAAAATATATCATCATACTAATGAATACATCAGTAAAAATAAAGGTAAGATTTTTTATCTCTCCTTAAATTTCATTTGATAGTTGCAATGAATTCATTATTTCAGTTAGAAAGATATTAGTGTTCTATAGTATTCCAGCTCTCTAACCTCAAAAATCACTTTGTTAATAGTATTCATAATTTCATTGTATATAGTGCAGATCGTGATATAAACTTTATGGAAAAAGTCCTTTCTCCATAGAGCTAATGCATACAGATAATACAATAGCTAAAATGAAGGCCTAGCGTATAAAGTTTCACTAAGAATTCTCCGACTCAGGTAAATTTAAAATGGATTGCACGCTTTTTTTTAGATACACCTATAATTTGGCTATTAAAAGGGAAAGTCAAAAGATACAGTATAAAAAGACTGGAGATTTAAAAGAAGTAAGAAGAAAGAGAGGTCAAAGTTCAAAGACAGTAAAACTAAATATTGAGCTGCAAACCAACAAAAATAACTTGGACAATCTTATTTAACATGTAAACTGTATCTGTTAATACAACAAGCAATCTGAATACCTTGGAGCCTCATTACAGTTGGATAAGAGAGGAGATTTACTGCAAGTGATTAAGCTTCAGAGACGTAACACCATTAAGAGCCATGATGTATTATTTAGATAACACATTTTGAAAAAACATTACTAAACATGTTTGAAAGTAGTTGTACAGTAACTCAGAGACAGAGACGGTTAACATATAGGTAGATGAAGGAAGAAACTATTGGAGTCGGTAAGATCCAAATGTAGTAAATGCTTAGAAATGCCAACAATTTCAGAGCTCAAGATACATAGTTGGAATCGCAGAACACAGATAAACTAAAAATGATTGGTATAGCCAAAAAAGAAGACAAAGGAATAATACTGAGCAAAAGCCATCCTTATGAATTACTATTAAAGAGCAAAAATGAAACCTTTGAATGTAGCCAAGGACCTGTAGTTAGGAAACCAATAACAAAAATTCAAAACGCCAAATATTTAGCACCTCTGTCATCAAAGTTGTGCTCTTAGCTGCTTGATCTTTACAAATCTTGTAACGTTGTGGTAGGTGCTACCGAGAGAGACGCACGTTTCTTTCCAGGTAGAAAACTGATTTAATTTAGCTTGGGTGCTTTGCCAGATTGCAAATCCCCAACAGACTGACACAGCATTCAAGGAGATTTATTCAGGTTTGATCAGAGGATTAAGCAATACCCACACGATTAGAATAGTGCTCTACAGCAGCTACTGGCTGAATGGATGAATCTGGAGCAAAGCAGAAGACAGACCACAGGGTCAGTAAAGTGGAAAGATTCAGCAATTAAATCACTATAAAAAGGATGTTTGGCAAACTGAAGTTGCTACTACATAAAGAATTGTCACGGATTTGGAAATAAGGTGCCTAAGTTCACATGTCAAATGTATTTTCTCAAAAGAAATTACAAGTGTAAATCTTTCAGTACAATTTAGTAGAGTAATCAATCACTTTGTAAGTCCAGACAACACTTATTTTATGAATTTATACTTAATATTACAAAAGAATGACAGACTTAAGTAAACATTTGTAGCATATTTGTATTCTTCAGTACATTGCTCATCTTATGTACTTTGTGTACAGTAGTACTTTCAATTTGGATAGCTAAATGATTTCATTCTAAAGAACCAGGCCTGCAAGCTAAAAACATGAGCTCTAAACTGCACTTGGCCTTGACAAGCCACTTACTTTTCACATTTGTACAACAAGTAGAATACTTAATTAACAGCATAACAACATAATTTGTTAATTGTAAAACCTTTCTGAAATCTCTAGCCAACTGCTAGCAGAGTGCAAACAAAGTTGCCTTTGATCTTCAGGCTGAACACGAGCAGTTCCGTGAGCGGATTTTAGTGCAGTATATGGATATCATACATAGTGGCTTGAAACCAGAAAACAGAACGCAGCAGGCTGGTAAAGTAGCCAGGGAGCACAGCTCTCTGAAGAGAGTGCATCCAGATGTGAGCAAAACCATAGCTTCTTCTGGCACTGACATTAGCAGCGTTTATGATGGAGGTAGGAGTTTACAAGAGTTAACAGCTGGCTTGTTCATTTACTAGAAAATTCTGACTAATTCAGGCAGTAATTAAACAGATTCCTTCCTTTACACGTAAAATAGCCCAACCCTGGTCAATGGGATCACAACTTGTACACCTTTTGTTGCTGCGATGTTTCCTCTACAGTATTTCAGTCTGGAAAATCACCTTCCCCACTGTAGCCACCACTTCCGGAGAAGAGGAATTTGGTCGTAAATTAAACTAACATGAGTTGTCCATCCCTTGGTATGGCTTCATCATTTCCATTTTAGCCACTCTTCTTTAACATGAGATTATTTTACGTTACAAAATAGTTACCTATTTATAAAGAAATTATATTTTGTTCTATGTTGCCTTGAAAATAGGCCAATAAAAAAAGTTAAGATATACTACAAACTATGTCTCCTTGACTGGATTTCTTGCAGAAAGTCTCTTTTCAGTAGGAAAGAACGTTCAGTAAAGTAAAAAGGGTTTCTACATACAATGGGTGCTACTAAAGATACAAATTTAACCTGATACGTAAAAAATAGTTCCAAGTAGCGCTATGTTATTGAGAAAATACTAAAACACAGTCGGAATCATGGGGCTTCTAATAGTATTATATGCATTTCAAATTTGGACAATTGAATACAACCTTGATGTTAGGACAAATGCTGACTTCATGATAATTATATTCTGTTTATAACATACTAACTGATATAGTTCAGATCAGACTTTTGCTTATGATCAGCAACTGTTGAATTCTCAAAGAATTAAAACTGGCTTTTTAAAACAGCAAATACTCTTGTATAGATAGAACTTTCTGTTGTGTATTTATTAGTTTTACTTCTCCCCAGCACTGAAAATGAATGACATTTGAAAAGGCATGAAAATCTTTTTATCTTAAAATTACAATGAAAAACATTTTGTATTGTGTTACAGCTGAATTTCTGTACTGTTGAACAAAAGTCAATTTACTGCACTTTAGTATTTTACCAATTGTTATTTACTGTAATCCTTAAAATTCAGGTACCCATGTCATGATATCTATTCCAAATCATTACACGTTGAATAACATATTAAAATAACTTGTTAGACTCAAAAAGGATGTTTATATTGATCATTTTTTCCCAAACTGTACACAAAAAAGTTTAAGCAAGCAACATGCAAAATCAAACCTAGCCTTTAACCTTGAACAATGAAGAAATGGGATTTAAAGTTACCACCTAAATAATAATGGGATACACATATGATGTATTAGTTTTAAAGAAGTCCTAACATACCAACCCATGTCTTTCATTGTCATTATAATCGCTATTGTCACTCATTCTTTCCCTCTGATGAGCAAAATCTTTGGGCTCCCCCTGCTGCCTCAGTTACACATAACACAGCAGACAGCTACAGAAAGACAATGGGTAAAAAAAAAAAAAAAAAGATAGGCTGCTGAGCAGCCTGGTACTAAATTTACATTACTGAACTTTATTGACCTCAATGAGGAAGACCAGTCTGACATTGTGCGATGGGAACTCACAGTGCACAGCAGGAA